GAAGATGTGGTAAAAACACAGGAAACTGCAAGTTTACAGATACATGTTGAACCTGCCTTTAACAAGATTAAGAATTTTCACATCTGGGACAGAGTTGTTCCACTACATCAAATGGGAATTGTAAACCAGATGTGGGCAGTGTGTGCATTCTGTTGTAATGCACAACCTAACATAATATCAGTGAGAATATCACATTCATGTGAGGCATGAATGAATTACTTAACCCATAAATTGCCTACAAATCTCTTCTCTCCCTAGATTGTAAGGGGCTACAAATCAGTAGGCGTTAAGATAAAGACAAAATTTTCCCCTCTGTTCTGACTATTTATCGTAAGGTTTACATCATAATTGAGTGACTTCCTTTCTGTCTGTAAAGACCATGTTGTCTATGTTGTGTTTGAATTATCTTTGGTGCAAAATGTTTAAACCAGTTTAGTTTTAATTTTCCTTTGTATTCTTTAGCATACTTTGAAACAAAGGAGATTAAAAATCAAACTGGCTGGAAAAATTTCAACCCACAACAAATTAAAGCTACAAAACAGTAAGAATTTATTCATCTAAGGTATTAATTCCCAGTCAACAAGTAAATTCACGACAATTAAGAATATTTGAATGTAGAAGCATGGTATTACCAATTCCGTTGAAAAAAAAAACAGAGATGTCATAACAAAATAGCTTATGCAGGAAAACTGTAGATGACAGGGTCAATCAGATGTAGCTGTTCACAAGACTTCACAATCACTGTTGTTATTTGCCAGACAATTTCAATTCAAAAGCTTTGCTTAAGCAAAATTAATAAAATGTTCAAAGTAATAAGAAAGCAGTTCCTGCCCTAGTTCAGCCCAGAAACCAGGGTCGTATGTAATCATGCACTCGCTTCACCGCGTCTCCTCAACATATAGGCCAAAATTTAATCTCTGAGATTTTTAACTCCTCAGGTTTTCTTCCAAGAAGAGAAGCGCCAGTTATATCGTTTTCCGTAAGAAATGTCGGATTTTGAAATATTCGAAGTACTCGCCATAACAAACGAAGAGGGGCGCGACGCGATAGTTTGGCCTTTTTGACCTCGTTTTCATGCGACTCGATCCAGGACTCTCGCGATGTCCGCCATTATGAAAGTCGTGTATTTGACAGGTGACCAACATCGCCTTTCCTTCCGTCCAAAGCTCATTTTTACTTGATTGACGGTTGCCAAAACGAGCAGCATGAAAACCAAGACCCAGGGGGAAAGGTGAGGGGTTGTTAGGATGTGCCCTATCTCATTAACGAGTGTTTCTCCGGAATATGACGCAGTTTTGATTAATCGCGTCAAGGCTTAGATGCCGCATTTACTTTGGAAAGTAACTAGGCCAATAAATTTTTTTGAGCATACGCTCTATCTGAAGTCGGTTAAAATTGTACTATTGGTGAAAAGACAAAACAAAACAAAACAAAAAACAAAAGCATAAACAAATAAAAAAAAAAATTCACTGTTATCGTCAGGCTACATGCTCATAAATAACGGTAATAGGACTAAGTGGAGTCGGTCTGTAATCATACAAGAGATTAACAAAATCAGACGAGCGCGAAGCGGGAGTCCGATTTGTTGATCTCGAGTATGATTAAAGACAGAATTGGACGACACCAAGTCCTGTTAACAATTAATGAAAACTAGGACAACATTTTAGAAAGAATCTAGACATCGGTTGCACATGTTCATAAGAAAAAGCAAAAACAAAAAAACTTGAATGAAAGTAATCCTCGCGGTAATGTGCACTAATAGGCCTGAAAAAAAATTAAAAAAAAAACAACTGTTAACTCGGCCAAATTTGAGACAACAGCGCGCGCACTTGATGCGTTCTGTCCACTTACACAGGCATAACGTGGCAACTGTCCCTTTTACCGTCCTTTTACGCTGTCCAATTAAAAGCATGTCGACAAAGTCTACATAATATCTTTCATCAGCGGTGCAGGGTAGAGCTATAGCTTAATGTGCAATGTAAATGGCTGCCCTGGTCGAATTTCGGCGAATGGGGTTGAGATAGGACTCTGAAAATTATTTATTTCTGACAGGTCAATGCTGCTCAACAGATAATAGAAATAATGAAAGCAAGCGTGATATAGCGTTTTTTTAGGACCAACCTCACTCCTTCTACACCTCACTCATAATATGGATTAAGTGATCACGTAATTGGTTTGTGAAGAATGAGTGCTGTTTGAGAGAGCGAATAAGTAAGGAAGTATCCATTTTTTACCTGTGCTGTGATATTTTTGTTTGCTCCATATCCTACCAGTCGTAAATTTTCGAAGCCAAGGGCCTTACAGTTCAAGCAAGCAAATGATGTGTCATCATAAGACGTGAAAGTAACTACAATTCAAACAAAAGAAACCAAAATTAAATTTATTTAAAAAACACATCGACGGAGACAAGTTGAAGTAACAGCGCGCACAAAGCGTAGCTCTGTATTCATAAAACCTGGTAATAACTCTTGATAAAATAAATAAATAAATAAATAAATAAAAAGGAATGCACGAAGAGACGAGAACGTATTATGCTGAGAATGGACGAGAAAAAGGGGAAGCGACTGAAATCTTATCCGGATTTTCTTCAGCGTCAAGGATGGGAAGGTGACGTTATTTCGGATAATAAGATTTGAAGCCATTTAAGAACAAGTCTCTGTAAGAATCAAACATCTTGGGCAATGAAAATTTTCAACCCCCTTCAAATTTTGCATGCAGTTAGGCACTCAGGGGGGATGCACAAAAACGCCCTTTTTGAAGGCCCCCCCCTTTTTTTGCCATGGTAACAACGACTGCTTGTTCGAGGCCTGGGGTCTCAATTTCATACAAAAACGTCGCAAAAAAAGAGTGAAATGTTTATTTCTCTATCTCAAGCTGAATACAACATAACAAATTTTCACTTCTACCATACATAGTGACATCATTCGTCTTCACTTTGATTTATTCAATTTTCCCTGAGAGTTAATGTGAACACACCAATAGATTTTTCATCTCGGTACAGTTTCGGTCATTTTCTGTGATCGGGTAAAACAGGGAAAACGTTTATCTGAATTTCTCTAAAAGTACACCGATTCTGGAACTGAAACTACCCACCTAACTGGTTATAATATTCTAGGTTTTAAATACGTAAAAATCTCTGCGGGCCTTCCGCTGCTTTTTATTGGGACAATTCGAGGAAATATAAATGAAAATATAAATATAACCAAACTGGCAAAACTGTTAAAATTCATTCTAATCATGACGGTGTCTGAGCGAATATGATCATGCTGAAGTCCATCGCGGCTTGCTCATCGTGACGATCTCCGATCGTCACAGTAAAGCAAGCCTCAGAAAGCCTCATATCCTTTCCGATGCGTTGAGTGGAAAGTCACATCAGTCACTGCAGCCGAGTTTTACCGTGCTGTCATTCCGAGCGATCTTCATGTTCCGGTGAATTCGGCCGTCGTTCATTCAAAAAACACTCGCCTTGAACAGTTTGTTTTCTACCATGTCATGTGAAAAAACTCGCGTGATTTTATGAGCCATAATTCGGCTGAAGTTCACTCAACATTTCACTTCAAGATTCTGTATAAGAGACTTAAAAACTTCAGGCAAAAGTGTTAAATTCGACCTGCCGAACTATTTTAGTTTGTAAACTATCGCAGAATGTGAACTTTGATGGTTTGACACTTTTGACAGCTTTAGTCTTGTACAGCCAATAAGATTATTTGAACTATTCTAACAGGGATTCTGATTGGCTTATTGTGGCGTGCTTTATGAGAGTATAGAGCATGCTGACGACACTGTTGTTCGCTTTGGAAATAAAGTTTCTTTTGAAAATTGAAAGTAATGCTTGGGGAATTTAACGGATTCTTTATTATAAAACAAATAGAAAAGCCTTGACTGTGCTCTGTTCTGTTACAAAGCACTTAGGAAGCGGCTAGAGCACTCAAGAAGTGGGGACTACGTCTCGTGTTTCTCCCTACACTTCTTTCGTGCTCTAGCCGCTTCCTGTGTGCTTTATAACAAAACAGAGCACAGTCAAGGCTTCATTATTTGTTAAGTAAATCCCTTGCACAAATCGATGAGGATGGGAAACCAATGATCCTCGATTTTCTCAATCTGGTTGTCTGTGATACTCGTCATCGAATCCGTCTTTCAGACTTGTCAGTCAGCACTGAAGATTAATAATGAATATTAGTTTAATAATGTAATATTCCAATACCTTTCTTACCTTGACGCTTGCTAACTTGTTGCAAGACAAGCTGAAGCGAAAAGAAAATGTCGGGTGACCAGTCCAAAGCTCGTTTCACTGGATTGACGGTTGCCAAAACAAGCAGTGTGAAAACAAAGACGCGGGGGGAAAGTGAGCGGTTATTAAGATGGGCCCCTTCTCAATTACTCGTGTCTCCGGAATATGACGCAGTTTTTGATTAATCGCGTCAAGGCTTGGATGCCGCATTAATTTTGAAAAGTAGTTCGAAAAATGAATTTTTTTGAGCATACTTTATCGAAGTGCGTTTGAAATTATGCAATTGGCAAAAAAACAAAAAAACAAAAAACAAACAAAATAGCAGAAAGCGAAAGCAAAAATTAATCTCAATATGGAACTGAAAATTTTCCCATTGTTATCGTCCGGCTACATACTGATAAATAATGGTAATAAGACTAAGTGGAGTCCAATTTGGTCTGTAATCATACAAGAGATTAACAAAATCGGACGACCGCGAAGCGCGAGTCCGATTTTTTTTATCTCAGTTGAGTATGATTACGGACAGAATTGGACGACACCAAGTCCTGTTAACAATTAATCAAAACCAAGACAAAATTTTACCAAGAATCTAGACATCGGTTGTACATTTTCATAACAAAAACTAAAACAAAAACAAAACAAAACAACAGTTAACTCGGCCAAATTTGAGACAACAGGGCGCGCACGTTCATAGTTTTTCCGAGACTTACTTTAAAATCATTTTCAAATTCTCTTGATCAGTTAACAAGGATGGAGGTATTCTTTCACACAGTGTAGTATAAACTTTATTGAAAAACTCATCTTCGACAGCTAAGCATGACCTTTAATTCAATTTAAAGTTAGAAAAACATTACAATACGATAAATTGTAATTAACATGCAAACAGTTTTTTTCACTGGTTGAGATATTCGTTTTTGACTACTAATGCGTATATTTACATGGAGATTGGTCGTCTAGCTTATTTATTAGGTGTAAACGAACGTCTGTTCAGCATTTTGTATCCAGAGGTTTTATTCTGAACAGGCTAACGATAGAACCGTGATCCGTTTGGTTAAGTATGCAACCATAAGCAAGGGACCTTCAATGCTCTTTTCCCACCAGCATACTTAGTATGTGGGTCGAAGAAACATTTTATTTACAACAGTCTCTCTCTTTTATTTTTATCATTATTAAGTTATTATTTATCACCGGAGGGGGGAGGTCAGCCGTCTATAACAAAAGATAGAGGGCATACTATCTTTGGAAGACTATAAAGCCTCAAGGGAGGGTCAGACAAATTCTATTGTGACACAACCAAACCCTCAACCCTGCCATCTTTCCCCCCCCCCTCCCCCCCCTTAGTGATAAATAATGATAATTAAGGACGATGAGTGCAGGCTCAACTAGATTTTAGAGCTGAAGCTCTTCTATGTATACTTGCGTATCCTACTGATCATATCAATTCCATGATAACAATGAGTATACCATAAAGGCCAGAGTAAACCTTTGGCCTGTTCAACTTATGGCTATTGATACGATCAAAGTTAATGTCGGACATATATTTATGCAAGACATCTGTTTACTAGTTATAATATTGAAATTTAAATACCTTCGCAAAAGCTAATAGCTGCATAAAAGCTGACTTCGCAGTGAAAAAACATGAAGCGCCATGATTCTTCATCAGTTGTCTTTTGAAGTTAGTCAACTTTGGTTAGGACAAAAAGAATTTGAGGGTCTGGATACTCAACTGGCTGACCTTCAAACAGTTTTGCGTTTCTAGAGTTATCGCATCCCATGTAGAGGCCACTATTATGGTGCTTGAACATCGTGAAGCTCCAGAAGTAATCAGGCTCAAAAGATTCACCGTTTCCATCAATATCATCTATATTCTTGCAAATTGAAGGTGAAGAAGATAATTTTGACTTAAAAACAATCATCCACTATCCTTAATAAGCGCGCATTATTATTATTATTATTATTATTTCACTACTATGCCATATTACGGCAACGAGACCCGCAAGAAATACCACGGTGCTGCAATATAGACACAGGCTAAAACACGGACAGAAAGTGCAGCATCAAAATTGCTGCACCAGGTAGAAAGGGATAACTCCATCTTTTTCTAGTATTTGTAGCTCATCACTGCCAATGTCACGCCACGGAGCAATATAATACGCGCTTCGCTTGGCTAAATAAGGCGTGCTCAGTTTAGCGAAGGGACGTCATTAGTAGCCAACAAAGAGAATGATAATACACATGCGTTATTGACGAGGGATGAGGTCAATATGGGTAGAGAATGGGCGGATGTTGCTTTTATATGGACGGATTCGAGGTCCATAAAAAACGCACAAAGGGTAATATCAAGCCATCTTGACTGAGCAAGCTTGGTCAATAATGGATTTATTATATAGCAAAAAGATTTCCCTTAATAAGAATCAAGAAAGACTTCATTATCCCTTCGAGCGCTGGGAGAGAGATACCGTGAGAATCACAGAAATTATGAACAATTTTAGGTCTTGCGCAACCTTTTTTCTTACGTGAAATCGAAGTGGGCAACTGTAGACTTTAAAGGGAACAAGAGAGAGAAACATGCGTAATATAGCGTTTATTTTTTTTTAGGATCAGGATATTTGAGAACTCCGGGAAAAGGGAAAAACCAACCGAAAATTCTCAACCGACGAATCAGCCACTTGGTAGTATATTTTTATTTGTAATAAATAGCTCCTGTTTTTCTTATCCTAACTCTAACTACATAAATATATGTTATTTGCCGGCTGGGAGGTCCGTATGGTGAAAAACTGTGACCGAGGTCTTGAAAATACTGCCCGGTCCAGTTTTTACACCATACGGACCGACCCTTAGCCGGTAAATAACATATTTATTGTTTTTAAACTTGACGAAATTCTTTCCGAAAGAACCCGAATGATTTATGGCCGTAAATACGGCAAGATCTTTTGAACAATTTTTGAGTGAGTAAATGGTAGTTAAAATAGAGGTGATGCGTCAGCGAAACAATAACGATAAAGCTGACTTAAAAGGCTTCCAAACAAATTTTTATAAGTACCTGTCACAATCTGACACCTGTCAATTCAGAGTGCGCAAGAAAAAAAAATCGTAGGGAACAGAACTAGTTTGACTGTCACGACAACTTAAAAATCAGTTAATGATTAACAATCGACCATTCATTCATGTACGAAGATTTCTGTTCATTAAGTAAACGGCGAGGAAAGTAATTGTGGGTAAATTCAATTTTTTATTTTCAAGTTGTGGGAGTTTGCTCGTTTGTTTGCTGTAATGGCGTGTTTAACTCTGATCTTTCCTTCACAAAAACTAAATTCGAACGGCACACTCCAACGAGACACAAGGGAATTTAATGCAGCCTTTTCTCAATTCCTTCAATTTCTGTTGTCCAAGTTAAGGTACAAATGTCCAAATTGAACGGAATTGGAAAGACTCACCAGGAGCGTATATTTGTTGTAGAACTTAAATTAAAACTTCTTTTTTACTATGAACAAATTGCTCGAGAAAATTCAGATATTAAATGAATGAAAGTTTCGTTCAGTTTAACTGTAACCCGTTTCAACTTTCGAATCATTGCAGACGGTTTTTACTTGTCAACCAACGTAATGACACTATTGTTTATACAAATTTATTTGAAACCAATATTTTTCTGTCAACCAAATATTTGATATTCATAAGTTATTTATCGGCTTGAGGTAGTGACGTGTTTGCTTTTTCGAGGTATATTTATGAAAAATGACAACGAAAGTTGGGATGTACTCGGCGATTCACGAAACTACCGTGGCCCGTGGGCATAAAGAACATAAAAAATTGTGTCATATTGTCTAAATCTTATTTCCAAATTTTGCAGAAGATAACGAGTAACACATCTGCTCGCCATATTGAAAATCGATGAATGTAAGTCACAGTTTCAATGATGACTAAACCAAGATAAACCTGGAGACGCCCCTTTCTCCTGAACCGAGCTAAACAATTCACACTAAGATTTTATTTTTTTCGGGTAGATGAAAAGTAACATATCTCTTCTTCTGTAACAACCACACAGTGCCCACTCACCCTAATTGAATTTAATAAGTAAGGTTTTCCCTATTGGACACAAGGTTCATTTATACCTCTTCTTTGCTATTATCCAGCTTCTTTTTTTTTAATCATGGGTTACTATAACCGTTATGGTTAGAAAATCCAACTCGCCTTGCCGATTGGCATTCATTCATTTTTACGTTGGAAAGTAAACCAAATAATCACATTCTTCATCTCGAGATCTAATTCTACCCGCCGTAGAGGATAGGTTCGTTCTACACCTAACTCATAATATGGATTAAGTGTGGATTAAGAATTGGTTTGTGAAGAATGAGTGCCGTTTGAGTGGGCGAATAAGTAAGTAAATATCCATTTCTTACCTTTGCTGTGATAGTTCTGCTTGCTGCATCTCCTACCAGTAATAAATTGTTGACGCCAAGGGCAATGCAGTCTATGCAAGCAGCAGATGTGTTATCATAAGACATAACTACGATTCAAAGAAAAGAGACTAAAATTACATATATTTAAAAAACACAGCGATGGAGACAAGTTAATGCAGAGCTAGCAGCGCGCACAAAGCGTAGCTCCATACTTATAAATTCTGGCAATAACTCTTAATAAAGTATATAAATAAGTAAGTAAAAAGAAACGTACGAAGAGACGAGAATGCATCGAACGAAATTACTATGTTGGCACATCAACTGCTAACTTAGATGGAAGAAGGAGTCGAGTCGAGTACCTGTCGTTATGCTGAGAATGAACGAGAAAAAGGGGAAGCGAGTGAAATCTTATCCGGATTTTCTTCAGCGTCAAGAATGGTTAGGTAACGTTATTCCGGATGATAAAATCTGAAGCCATTCAAACTAGAAACATCATGTAACCTTTAGACTCGACTCGTCAGCCAGTTAACTATTGTATGGCTTGTTTAAATATTCGTATCAATATCTCGCTTTTCTTTCAACAATTCTTAACTGATATCAGATATCTGAGGCGTCAATGATCACTGCACAGATTTATAAACTGCCGGATCTGTAGCATTTGTTTTTGTCATACATTTGTTATGTTTTGGTTTTTCTTTCTAAAGAACGCGCGCAGTAATTTGATTTGCGTTTAATTTGTCTTTGGAGAACCCGTTAATCAGATGGGAAATTTTTTAGACCGCAAAAGTAAACATCGAGGTAGAGGAACAAACTAAATCGTTTCTCGGCCAAAGCACACCTATATTTCCTGCTGTTCTGTTTGATTTCCTTGAATTACAGTAAATGGTTTATCTAAATGGACAAGCTGTCACTTTCCCTTTACAATTCACCCTCAATGAAACTGGAAGATTTCCGCGGGCTTTCTGCTACAGCTCTGTCACTGAAAAATGTGAGGAATATGAAGATGGCTCCTCTTAGAATAAGTGGCTCAGCTTTTCCTTTGATTCCGCATGACGTGCACATGCTTATATGCGTGCCGAGGAAGCTTTTGGGCGACTTTCTTGGGCCTCAAGCAAAGTAAACTTAGGTATCATCACTGAGTTCACTACAGACTCACTCGTTACCATCAATCATCACCTCCTCTAAATTTAAAGCGATTTCACGATCTATCCGAAAAGTTTGCAATCGATGGTGTCCAACCCAATAAACATGGCCAACAGGAGGAGCAAACACACTTGTTCCCATCTATTGCATCGAGAATATCGATTGGTAAAGTGGTCTCAGTGTAAGCATTTGTAAGCTGACTAGCACCTTACTTAAACCCCGACAGCTCTTTCAAAGATGATACTCGCAACATTAAATTAGATATGGGCAGTTCATAGTTGCGCTAGTAAAAAAGAGATCAATCTACGTACTCGCAGGGGCCCCAAAAGTCCCTTTGCAATCTACGGTACCATCATTATTCAACACAACGAGACCACTTTGCCCAAGGTTCCATAGTTGATATTCCGTTTCGATCTTCACTGAATGAGTCTTTTCATAGATGCTTATTGGCGGTGGCGGTGGCGGTGGCGGTGTCGGTCCCCTGTCCGAGATAGAAATATTTCATCCTCTAAGGAAACAGTAAATAATCATCACCCTCGCGATGCTGGTTTATATAAGATTTGAAAAGGTGAGAATTCATACTATGTTAATTGTTTGATAAGCTTAAATTTAAAATTCCGGTTAGAAGCCTCTCTTGCTTAATCAGTAAGGGGGCCCGTTGGGGATTCTGAGTTAGAATGAGGAGTTCAGTGTTCAGTTACAAAAATAATAATAATAAAAAGAAAAAAAAAATATATATATATACATACATACACACACACACACACACACACACACACACACACATATATATATATATATATATATATATATATGTATGTATTGCCGTCAATTCTACCAGAAATGACATCTATAGCTATAGTGTTCATGTGAAGAGATTCCTAATTGAAGTGGTACGTAAGGGCTCATCTAAGTTGTAATAACTGAGTAATACGGCAGCGCAATCATAACTAACTTTTTCATGAGAACCTAAGGAGGTCAATTTAGTACCGCGCGTTTCGCTTCTAACATAAGAGTTAGAGGTATTTTTATATCTGTTTTGTTTTGCTTTGTTTTTTTCTAAGATCCTATTATATCTCTTTTCCTGAAAATTTAAATTTAAAATACAAAGTTATGCCTGCATTCTGAAAAAAAACTTACATAAAGGTTGCTGTTGGTTTAGTACCTTTACAATTATCAATGAGTAGGAGACAAACGATCCACTTAACTGACTAAATATTAGGTTTGAATTAGGAAGATTTTTTAAACCTTACCCATTCATCGAGGAAAGTGCAACCACACTACAAACTAGAGCGGCGTGGCTAACGAGCAGTGCCCACCCCACTGCAACCAAAAGCAGCTTCCGTTTCCGACCCTACAAAAGTAGACGAGATTCATTGAGCAAGTAAACTGAATTCCTCTCTTCTTTTAAACCGGGAAATGTTACACGGTTGTATCAGTCCATTGTAACAGTCTCAAGATATCTTGATTAAGTCTAAAATATGATTTGCCTTCAATTTCACTGCTTACCCTTTTCTGAGTAACACATTTGCTCAAAGATTAGCATACTGCTCTCCAAATCGAAACTTGGCTGAGATTATTTAAATTAAAGTATTTTTGCATAAGATAGGGAAGATACAGCTTTCCTTTTATTTCACAATTTTTTTTCATTTACTCGGAAGAATCAATAAAAAATATCAGAAGAATATGCCGGGGGACAGCTTGTTATGAACTTGAAGATTAATCCCAATTATTAACTATTATAATTCACCGGCAGTTTAGCTACATTTATCACAGACAATCTGAGTCGGCAAGTGGCTCATTTCCCGTTGTGTTCCTACTTTTCCCTAGTCCTCCTTTCATCATCCGTTGTATTAAATGAATAATTCTTTGATACAATTGCATCAAGGTGGGAAATGGCAGCCCTTTTTCGAGGAACAAGTGGATCACAGGCCTGGATACTGCTATATTCAGGAAAGAAATACAAAGGTTTCATGGAAGTTCCAAGAATGCAGCCAAAACTAGTAAAACTGATCAGGAATGCTGCTGCGGGATGTGGGTATCAGTAGGCTCTATAGGGACAGGGCTATCAACCAGTGTCCATCTGGGCTCCCCTAGAAAAGTTTCCAGGGGAGTGGGGTGTGTCATTAAACATAAAAAGAGAAAATGGAAGTTAAATTTGTTTCTTTGCGTTTTGTCTTAAATTGGAACTAAATGGAACTTTTCATTAACTTTTGGAGATTTTCTTTCAGAGACAATTAGAATAGGTTAAGCGATTTTAAGCTGTTATTAAATAAGATGATATGATTCAGGAAATATAAATTTTAAGTAGGAAATGTGAACTGAAAGGTTTTTTTAATATTCAGCGAAAATAATGAAAAACTTCAAAATCTGATCCATTCTAGTCCGGGCCAGCGCCAGTTTTGTCCAGACCTTGACGTGATGAAACATTGTCCATTATCAAATCATTATTCAGTATTCGTTATTCATTAATAATGAATAATGCCAACGAATAATGCTAATGAATCTAGCTTATGAATAATGCTAATGAATAATGCTTATAAATAGAGATGATAAAGGTTAATTAGCATTAATAATACTATGAGTATTACTTTTACTGTGCCGCGATGCGTCCAGGTAACTATTCATCACTTCTACCTTCCACTTCGGTAAATAATTGTTTATAATCATCATTATAATTATAGTTTATAGATAAATGAGAAAGAGAGACGCACACTAGACAAGACGACCCTAGTTCTGAATAAAACCCAGTGTCTGGGGGATTTAATTTTTCTATTTTAAAATGGATGTCAGGAGGTGGCAGTTGTTCATGAACTAAGTTTCGTGCTGTTTTGATCTGATATTCATCTAAGACTTTCTTACCCTCTTTGTTTTTTTTGAAGAAACATCCCCTTCAGAGATAGAAGTTCCCTTTGTTTCGTGTTCAAGCATTTCGACGGCATCAGCTGTTTGTGAATCCATCTTTATATCTATAAACATTAGATTTATCTACAGTAAAAATATAGTTAAATGAATATATTACTAAACATTAAAAATAATAATAAATAAAAAAAAAATGAATGAAGTATTCCATATACTATTTTATCAGTGTGATAATAATTATTGTTCTTCTAATGAGATTAGGAAACGACGAAGAAATACTGATCGTTCTTAAACGCCGGAACCTCTGATTAAAAAGAAAACTCTTTTTCATCTTTCAAAGAAGGGTACTTAGAAGGGCATTTCTGGAACTTGATGCGTCTAGGTTTTACTTCGCCTTGCAGAACAAACAAAAAACAAAGATATTTTAAATTAGTCTAGAGAGAAATTCATCTGATTGGGACCTAAACACATTTTACGCCATAATGAGTGAATATTACACAATAACTTTACCTATTTGAGGTTTCCTTTCATCCGAACACAAACGTCCAATGTAAAATGTACAGTTTTATATGCTGCAAAAGCTATTTTTTTATTCATTTTTTGACCTGTTAATTAACCCTGCGACATTAACTCTCTCTTATACAATCTGATAATGGCGGCGAATTTCGTAATAGGTGACGGAAGTGCGTACGTGTGTCTAGTGCTGGGTTTTAGCGCTACTTCCGTGGGGTCTTGTTTTGTGTATGTTTGGTGGCAAGTTCAATTCAACAATTTGAACAAGAATTGATTAAAATAATTTTAGCTGCAAGGTTAGGTGGCTAAAAATCTGGAATACAGAGACTGGAACATAGACATCCGGGATGAACAAGTTTATTGTAAAAAACAGCCTGCATTACAAAAGGAACCGTAACTGTATGTATTTAATACAATAAGTAAGAACAAAACATGATTCAAGTTAGGAATTGTGATTTATTTTCTTTTACATCAGAAAATTTAATGAACATATAACTGTAATATAAAAAAGAAATAGAAAGTTTAACAACAGGAGAGTATGAAGAAATGCGAACAGCTCTACTACTTGATAATTACTGAAGGTTTCAACTGAGACGGGTTACTTTTGTAATTGAAAATTATAAGTGGCAACACCAGTAATCTGCATTAAAAGCCTTGAGTTCCTGTTGAAACTTTCTCTTCTCAATGTATAAGCATTAAAAATACTGTTCATAAATGTACTTCAGTTGCAGTTTTCAATTGAATGTACAAACTCAATAAAATATATAATATCTAGATACTTTTAAATACAAAAAGTCACTTGGGAGAAGGGGAATGCTATGACAGAACATTGTCCCAGTGATAATAACATGAACATTTTTGTCTTTAGTGAAAGATACAACAATGGCTTTGGTATCCTGTTAAATGGTAATATAGAGTGGATGCATTCTGATCTTTACCATTATTTTGGTTCTTGCTGCAGTTTAGTTCTCTGCAACACTGACTGCAGCCATAACTTTAGTCTTCTTATCAAAGGTAACAAAGAGCATTGGTGTATTTAGGAATGCTTCAACAACAATATCTTCACTTAATGACTGCTTAGTGTCAACTTTAAACAACTGTAAGGCACTGAGCAAAGTATCATTAAAAAAATGTTACAGTGGTGTTAATGTCATCATGTCTCAGCAATGCCTGCAAGTGGTACTGACTGCTGCAAGCAGACACTTTCTGCCTGAGGCCACATGTTTCACACTTTACTACATTCCCTGGTGTTGCTGGAAGTTTTTTGTTACATTTGCAACATTGGCGATAGCACATGAAATTTTGAACACCAAGGACTTCAGCATTTGTTGATGTTTGGGTGAAGTAGTCTGGCAAATCACCTGGTGAAGCTACTTCCTCTGGGAAGGGATCAGCTGGTGAAATGGAACAGTCATGCTTTGGCGTAGTAAGGTAAATGGAGTAGTTGTCATTATCCTTTGTCACTTTAAGGTTACAGAAGTTATATGTGTTGTCGTCTGCAACTTCTGTAATCAGGTCCTCCCACAGGGTTAGTTTGATTGATCCAGATGGATCTAGGAGGCAACAATCAGCTTTCGACTTCGTGCCATCTCTTGTGATTATTTTCTTCACTCCAGATAAGTGGACCACTTTGTCTTTGAGATTAATAAGCTGGTTATTGGTGACATTCAAGAGCATCGAGATGTTTAGAGTCGAGGGAATCTCTTCTCGTAGAAAAGTGACCTCCTTCAGTTCCTCTATTTGGACTCTTGCATTCATGAGAACACTGTCATTTTTAATAGTGAAGTTGCTAATCTTTACTGAGGACTTTTGTTTGCTGCATCTTTCAAAGTCAAGATGCTTGCTTGAAGAGAAACAGACTCCACGTACTTTGGTCGCTTCTGTTTGAATAAGCATGTCAAAATAGCGAGTCTTGTTGGAGTGCTTAACAGGGGATACGTTATGAATGTATCCTGTTAGGTTGTTCATTGTTGTTGTCTATTACAATCGAGGTGTGTCTACCTGGAGAGCAAAGAGAAATAAATGGTATCAGTAACTGTGGGTTGTAGAACAGGTATCAAAGAAAACTGCAATCTGTATGTACTACAGGGCACAAAAGCAATAATCATAAAATAAACATACCTGGATATGTGTTGCATATCACATATCTGCAGATTACCCCTTAGATGTCAATCACAGTGCATGATTGGTATCTAAGGTGTACATTTGAGTTAATTTCATTTTTTTGTACTCATTAACTATGAATATTCTCTTTAAGACAAAAAGAAAAACACATGGAAGTTACAGTAAAGGTGACAAGAAAACCATAAAGGTCTATTTTTGAATCAATGCACAGATTGCTTTGTGATCAGAAAAATAAGTTTCTAAAATGTGTACATGGATTTGTGATCACCCTGTGATCTATGTATTGTTTTTGCTGCTGCAGGTCTAAGTGGAAACTGCTTTCTTGCAACTTGAGCTGTTCTATTTCTTCCAACTGCAAATTGTGCAGTAACAGGTTTGATGGGGGTCCACCTGCATTCAATGCCATTGACATACACATGTCTGTTGTCATGTCTGGTTTTCTCATCAACATCCACATGGTCAAATTGAACCCAAATTATACCAGATGGTATATTTGTGTCATACAATTTCATCATCTTGATGATGCCACCAGCACCATTTGTGATACCATCATCAGTTCTTACATTTATGGCTATTTCTATTCTTTCCCCTTCAGCAAGTTGAAGATTTGAAGCTAATTGCTTTGTTTTCCTGGGATCCAGTGGTATTTGCTTGAAGATTTTGTCTCTGAGTTCTGGAGAATTTGCACCTATAACACTATCCAATGCTTTGATGGTATATTTGTCACCAGTAGCTGCCCTGTGAACTCTAATATTAAACTCGTCAACTTTTGAGTTTTGAATGAACAAATGAGGAACATCAATTGGGTAATTCATACAGTGTTCTGAAATGCATCTTTCTTTCAGTTTTGCAATATCATCTTGGGTGTGATTACCTTCTCTCAATCCATTTAGAATTTGAGCATTCCCTGTCTCATAATTTCGTCCAGTTCAAACATTGTAAAATGTTCTTGCCATAAATTGGGGGCAAGAGATCCATAATCTGAGTTCTTCTAACAGTCCATAACAGGTTCTAGTTGAAACAAATCACCCAATGCAATTATGCTAATACCTCCAAATACCTCTTTACTACCCTTGATATCCTTAAGTCTATTATTTATTTGGACATTTAACATAGTATTGCCTATCACTGATATTTCATCAAGAAATATATGCTGAACAGCACGAAGTTTACATCTGAGGGTATTTAGTCTGCTTGAGTCAAGAGGTTTATATGTCTTTAGAGACTGGCATGCTGGTATTGCCAAGGCACTATGTACTGTGTTCCCTTTGATACCATAAGCAGCTTTTCCAGTAGGGGCAAGCAATAAAATTTTAACTTCATTAAAGTTTTTGCCTGCTCTGGAATTATGTTTTACTGCTGCTTGATATAGAGCTCTGATAAGAAGGGACTTGCCCACTCCAGCTCCCCCAGAGAGAAAATAGTAGAATGGTCTGTCAGATGTTTTAATAAGATGCAAAATGTGATAAAAAAATTCCTTTTGCTTCTTGTTTAGTGTTTGAATCAACTGCCTGTACTCTTGATCCTGCATTTCATTTAGTACAAGTGGTTCACTACTTGATACAGTAGAAGGAATTCCAACATCATCTGATAAATCATAGTTTTCATTAAAATCAGGCTGTAGATCTTTATCACCCACAGCCTCATCTTGGTATTCTATATCTTGTGTAAATGGTGCTATTGAATCATACTGATTATGATCACCTGTATCTTCACTACCATTCAAGTGTTCCTGGATTTTATCCATATCACTACCGCAAACAGCATATTCTTTCATTTGTTCGCTTATGGCATCTTTCATAAGTAAGAAACGTGCTTTGTAGGAAGAACTATTTGCTAGCAGGTCAGTTTGCTCATTTCTCCACGGTGCAAAGAGCATAATAAGTTCTTGATAATGTTTTTCAGGATCTTTTTCTTTATTAAACCAAACAGTTCTAATAACTCTAGCTATTGATCTTTTTTTGTTCTTCTTTTCATTACTAAGTTCATTACAAAGGTCATCATCATTGTTTTCACTTGCTGTTTCAAAGGGAAGGTTATCAGCGTCATTTTAAATTTTTTTTTGATAAAGGGTTTTCCTGATGAGTCATACCAAGCTGCCCAATCTGCTAATGTCAAGTGCTCAAGAGTAAAAGGACATTTTAACTGATCACAACAGCTACAGACATATACATGTACAGGACCATTGGACACCAGTTCATAAAACAATGAAATGAAATAGTCCACATTTTTTTGGTTTGTATTGTTACCTTTTTCAAGAGTTGTTCCTATTTTAATGGGACATTCTGTATTTTGATTTTCGTCAAGATAAGAATTTTGTTTTGCAGTTTCCCATCTATGGCTGGGATTATTTTCATTCAAATTCCCCTTGTTATTGTCACTGCTTTTCTTTTTTTTGCAACAATATTCCCTCATGTAAGCACTGTAGTTGCGTTTTGTGCTTGCATCATTAGGTTTGCTTCCTTAAGATGGTAAATTTCTTCTTTCATCAACCTTCTTTCTTTTTCTATATTCCCTCATGTAACTGCTGCGCTTCCTTTTTGAAGTGCTGATATGTGAATTCCAGGAGACAACACTTTCTTCTATCATATTTAAATCACTATGACTTTGCTGACTTTCTGATGAGCTACTGCCAAACATACAAGGCACTGTTGACACATAATGTACTTCACTGACATGACCTAAATATATTGATGTAACTGGCTCTTCTAATAACTGAACAGGCTGTACTATAGTTGTGTGACCAAAATTTTCATGGGATTCTATGATGTGAATTCTCAAATAATGTGACTCTGCAACTGCTTGAACAATGAGTGCATCACACCATGTACCTTGTAATGACATGTTGGTCAAATATTCATTCCATGAATTCTGGGTATTGCTTTCAATGAAACGTTCTGGGTTTGCTCTTAGATAATCAGAACCAGTTTGCCTAACATGCAAGTGATGGCATGGATCACCATATAACTGATGAGAAACAGCTCTAAAAAAACAGTCACCAGCACCCCCAACATCTAGGGGTCTCAATCCCAGCTGACATAACCGAAAGTTTAACAATATGGTGGAACCAACTGATACTGTAGTTTCAGTGTTGACATTTACATGTAGTTCAGGGCCTGGATTTAATTCAATATCACCTGAAGTCATAAGCTTCATTCTTGATACAGAAAATCTTCTAGAATGGCTGCTTGATTTCTTTAAAAGCTTGTTTACGATTGGTTTGCTTAGATTAACAAAGCTGGTGAAAAAACTGTCACATCTCTTAAGATATCTTATGTAACACAACTTATAGTCAGTAGCAAAGCTGTATAACCTTGAAGACTTAGGAATATATTTCCTAATGATGACCTTAAGTTTATACCTTGTTTCTCTTTTTTTCATAAACTGCACAATCCGTTTCATCGAGACCCTCGACGGCTCTCGGTTTCTACGTCGTTTCTTTTGTTTTTGGTCAGCTATTTTGAAATGTGTATCAATTTCATCTGTTCCACGTGAACACAACATATCCACATCAGTTGTTTCGAGAAATCGCTTACATTACGTTTAATCGCATTTATACTGCTACTAACATAACTTTTTCTGTTCATATATACCACAGCTTTCACAGATGTTTCGTCAGTCAAAGGAGTCTTTCCTTTAACATCAGTCAGGTTTCTCGCTCTTCTATACACATTTTGTGTAATCTCCAAACGGGCAGGCTCAATTTTCCCCACAAGGGGCTCAATTTTCCCCACAAGGGGCTCAATTGTCCCCAAAAGGGACTCAATGTTTGCCTTTAAGGCCTTTTCTTTTCCCCAAATGGGGCTCACGAAGCTGAAGTTCTTTCCTTTACGCATCGTAAACAACACCGCAGCATGACTATTCTGTTGGCGTGGAGAGCATCGATCGAACACTTGAAAACATCCTTTAAAGTCTTTTACTCGACCATATTGACTCAAACTTCGAAAGCTGTGGCATACTAAGAAACCAACGTTATAGAAGTTCATCATAAAGTTTACAAGAGCAAAAGGAGACTCACCAACTTTCCGAAGTGTGATCCACAAGTGTGAAATTCCTCCTTTCCTCAAGGTACGGGTAAAAGCACATGGTGGTCAAAGATCAGATTCATCGTCATATTTTCGTCCTCGAATTCAATTGCTCCCGACTCTTCCTTGCGGTTTTCTACTTGAATCCAATTGGTCAACCGACAGTTTCCAAAATTATAACGATAAAATATCGACATGGTTACACATTCCAGTGGTTGAAAATCAGTGTATACTTCATGTTATTAGTCACGTAAGGTAAACTATGAGTAAAACATCATATGTGGCCTCTCACGCGAAAACGTTCCTTACGGTTAGCCGTTTTGAAACGGATAGCCGTTCGTAAGCCGTTCATCAGCCGTTCGAACGGGATGGGATGCCGTTCGAACGGCTTGAGCTATCCCTTCAAAAACAATTAGGAGCCGTTCGAACGGCTGGAGCTATCCGTTCCGAATAGATTGGGAGCCGTTCGAACGGCTTGAGCTATCCGTTCAAAAAAAATTGGGAGCCGTTCGAACGGCTGGAGCTATCCGTTCCAAAAAAATTGGGAGCCGTTCGAACGGCTTGAGCTATCCGTTCAAAAAAAATCGGGAGCCGTTCGAACGGCTGGAGCTATACGTTTCAAAAAAGTTGTGAGCCGTTCGAACTGGATGTTCGTGGCGAACGGCTGGCGATATGTTTTGAAACCGTAGCTTACAATTCCTTTGGAAGGGATGTTTCGAGCCGTGATCCTGTCAAAGTTAATAGTCTTCGCACTGCGATCAGTCAAGAGTACATCGGACAGACTAAAGTTAGTTTGGTAAACACTTGAAGGTTCCTAATATAGCGTGTTTCCCCTCTGCAAGGAATTAAACTCTGCTTTGTTTAGAGCATGCTTGCCAAACCAACAGTGCTATAGCGTGGGAGAATAACAGTAACAACATTCAACACGAACTTTGTAAATATAAGCATTGTTTACAAATGCCTTCATGAGTAGTCACGGTTCTATTTCTACTCCTCCATCATCTTTAGTTACCTAACATTCGATTATCGATACACATTTTTTATTCAAGATCAAGTTTATTCAACTAGTTTACCGAAAATGTTTTGACGTTTGACAGTATGCAAATATCAAGCGCTTTTGACTGAAATCAAAATGGAATCTCCTGAGGGTAAACACCGTACCGTCGGCAAGATGTCAATCCACTCATTACCAATGCAATCACAAAACGTGTGTGTTATTCATATGCTAAGTTGAAAACAATTACTCTCCATTTGTCCAATAAAAACTGTAGAATTTCGATCCGCATGCCTCGCTGATTCGCTTTTATTGTACACACTCACATCAACGCAGCGGACAAAAATAATGGCACACGCTTCTTTGTTAACTTAAAAAAATTGCTTGCACTCAAGGTAGCGAAAATTACTCGGCACATCGTAAAAATTGTCACTATAAATTGTGCCTGTTAGTTCTGAAGATACATGGTGGGGAAAGCGTCGCCTGTGTTCGGAAACGAGATGTTTACAAAGTCAATTAATGGCGTTACATTACGAATTCTGGAAATGGTTGCATGACAATTATTTTAAAAGAGAACGCAGACTATTACCGGCTTTTGTTTCTCCCCCGCGAAAACGAATTTGCTTTACTCTCAAAAGACTTATTATTTTCAAAACAGGATTAGATTTATTCTAGGTTTTCTATCAGTTTTCAGATCTAAGCAGCGCGTGTCGCGTTTATCTTAATTACTGTCATTTCGTTCGAATGTTTTTGATCGGCCGTTCAACCGTTTACTTTGACCTTATCCGTTGAAAACTTCAGCCGTTCAGCCGGTCGAAATTTTCCTTCTATCCGTTTGTCATCCGTTCACATACCGTGCGTTCGACCGTTCGAACGGATACCGTAAGGAACGTTTTCGCGTGAGAGGTCACATATTTCGTGCTCAAATGTGGCGAGTGCTTTTCGAATTCCGTACACTCTTCCATTGTGTCTGCGTGCTAACGCACTAGACACAAAAATCAAACATCAGAAAGGCAATACCGATAAAATGCTCTCTGAAATGATTAGATTATTCACTTAACTTCCTTTTAACTGCTGGAGAAGTGAAATAAATGCTTCGCTTAGGTCATTAATTTTTGAACTGCTAAAAATAAAGGTCTATTTATTGCGCAACGAAGAAGGAGGCAAACGCGAAAATGAATGAAAATATGGAATCAACCTTCCCCCCCTTCTCCCTTCTCTTGCCCTTAAGAGCAATACTGGACAGTATTGGACCACTGAGTGGTCTAATGATTAATGATAGGCCTTAGATAACGAAAAACACGCATACATACTTGCCAGTCAAGAAACGCTAATTACAACTCAGCTAATTACGGAATTCAACTTTTTGAATTAATCTTTAGAATAACCACTGTAGGACACGTCGTTTGTTTGGTTGTATTGACCTGAACACAAGGTTGATATCGTGTTCGAATAACTTTGCAAACTGTGAAAGTGTCAGAATGGATATAAAAAAAATCTAGTTTAAGATATTAACCTTATCGCGTTTAAGGTTTGTAGAAGTTTGTATGGCTTTTATGTGCCACATTCACCAAATTTCAAATGTTACTCGCTTTGTAACAGATATAATTGAATGTATTCACAACTACGCGATTAGTTTATGGGGAAAATTTACTGCATATTGGGCCTTGTATTGCATTCGTCTAAGACCGGAAACTTACTGTGTAGAAGGAAATATTTTTCCATTACATATGTGAGTTTTGGAAATTATCGTCATTTTATGTTGAAGAAAGCCTTTTACTTGATGATGTCGCTACAGTTGACCAAGAATCAATATATTAGCAGACAGCGTCAAATTGTCGACGTTCTGATGCTTAAAAAATAAAACAATTCTTATACGCTTAAGATCCGCTGCTTGATAAACAAATTACGAGCTTTTATGATCCAGCTATATTCGATACATTTTGTAGCCTAGAAGAAGAAACAAAAATTTCAAATCCACTATGAAGTATTTCTAAAAATTCGTTTTCGATCGATGTGTGTGTTACGTTCCACAACTAATGTAGGCCAACAGGTACAATTCAGTCAAAGAAGAGTCGTAGAATACCTCAGTCAACTCAAATAAGTCACCATTTAGGTAAAAAATTGAACCCTTTTTTTCCTTTGAAATACGTAATAGCGAGCGATGAGACAATCCAGGAAAAGACTGGAGAAGGCTAAAAGCTTTATCTGGCTTATCTAATGCATTTAGTAAATCCCTTGCACAAATCCGTGAGGATGGGAAAGCAATGAACCTCAATCTGGCCGTCTGTGATATTCGTCATTGAATCCGTCTGTCAGAGGTTTTAGTCAGCACTGAAGATTAATAGTGAATACGTGGGTTAATAATGTAATATTTCAATACCTTTCTTGCCTTGACGCTTACTAACTTGTTGACGTTCCTAAAGTTGCAAGACAAATTGAAGCGAAAAGAAAGCGTATTTGTCAGATGACCGATCTCGCCTTTTCTTCGGTCCAAAGTTCGTTTCCGCTGAATTGACGGTTGCCAAAACAAGTAGCGTTAAAACCAAGACGCAGTGGGGAAGGGTGAGGGGTGTTGAAGTCCTAAATGTAATAACTGTCCTAAATGTAATAAAGTCCTAAATGTAATAACATTTGGTCCTAAATGTAATAAAGTCCTAAATGTAATAACATTTAGTCCTAAATGTAATAAGCCTCCAATGCAATCGTTTGACTCCTACAGTGCATTGTTGTCATGTCGGACATCCACATTGATTTGTAAGTGACAGCTGTTGCACCAAAAAAATCGATGACCAGTTTACATGTCACATTGTGGGCTCACTGATATCAATCAGCGTCTTTTTACTTGCTAGAAATATCAGCAGTCGAAGTATGGTCCTTAAAGCGGTTTATCGATCGAGTTGAAGAAAATCATTTCCAGCCCAAAGTGGGCTAGTACTTGGCTGGAAGCTCAATAGGATGGAATCGATTGGTACGTAACCATTAAGACTTTTTGGAAAAGAAATTGACTACAATTGATGATGAACTAGCATGCTGTTGTTGATGTTATCGTTCGTGTTAAAGTCTTTAGTAGTGATGCACCATTTTAGAGCAGTTTGAATGATTTCGCTGTGTCACATGTTAATCCAAAAGAAAAT